CCATAAGAAAATTGCAACCTCAATAGCTTTGGCATAAGCTTTCGATGTTGTCCCTTAGTATTTTCAGACTAGGATATTTTGTTTGAATTGAGCATCTCTCTCCACTCCATACCAGATGTCTGATCATCCAAAAAGTATTGCCAAAATGATTAAGAACTTCGAAAACCTAGGAGGTCTACGTATCCTAAATGGATTAGCACCATTCTTCACTCTAATGCTTAGATTCACTGCGAACTCCTAGAGGGATACGTTTCATATCAGTTTTTTACCCAAAATGCTACTAAAGATGCAGGCATAAGATAGTTTTTGAATGGCATTTGCAGGCTGAGGTCATCCCAACTGAAATATAGATACTGTGGTTATTCTCAACCAACCAAAGGGGTTGCTGGTAACCTCTGTAGACATTCGGATGAGGAAATCAGCAACACTGCTAGCCCTAACCTCAGGTCAGAGTATGCTACTTATGTGACAACCACTTTTAGTTTTACCGTATTTGACGCCCAAATATCTGTGCAGTCAAATTATTTATTAGTCACTGTAAAGTAACTTCATCGTGGTCCAGATGGATGAAGTCGGATTTAGCAGAGAGTGTCACAATTGACAGATTACGGTACATGAAATGCGTCTACTTTTGCGCCTGCTAAATTATAGTAGTCTCAGGCTCGCGGCGGGCTGGTGTGAGTTTTCTGAGACACGTCACAAATTTCTTATGCCTAACAATAGCTTTGCTCAAGCGCCATTTGAGGTGAACCAAGTCTGCACACCTTAAAAGTCATATTACCTGTTGCTAAAAACCCTAATTTGGGGAAATGTACATCTAGTTGACACATACATTGCGTACAATTTGTGTAGTTGTGTACAAACGATCGTTTACTATTGCAGAGCGTAGTAGTATGTTGTAACTAGCTTTTAACATCTACGTTATGTATTCTTAATATTTACTTCGACGAGGACGGAACATTACATGATCAAACGATGTTACCTGTAAGTGAAGTTTCCCGTCCTCGCAAATAGATCCCTCTCTCCCTATGCATCACCCAATTGTTGCAACAGCTTGGCTTTGAAGAAAATGAGTGTTTATAGGCGGCCAGAGAGGAGGAAGGTAGGGGCGCGCGGTGCCGCGGTCCTTCGCTGCGTGCGCGCTTTGAAATCGTGAGTTTGGTGAGCTGCGAGGGTACTACGTTGTGTATTTTAAATATATACTTCGACGAGGACTTCATATAACTAAGATCGAACATCACTTACAGGTAAATTCGTTTGATTATGTAATTTTTTGAGTTGTTAGAGACGAATAGAAAAAAATTAGAGGATGTGAGTATCTAAATTCAAACAAAAATTAAAAGGGCTATACAGGGTTATCCAAATTAAGTGTCCACCATTAGTAACTTTGTTATTAGTGAAAATACAAAGTTGTTTGAATTAGCAAACTAGTAGCATTTTTAACGCTGGTAAAAATGAGAAATAAAAAAAAACAATTGAGAGTCGTTATTTTGATTTTTTTCAGTAAAATAACATTTTTTTAAATGGAAACCCCTGTATATTATATTTTTTTCTGTTAGAGCATCAAATTTTAAACAAAAAAGCTTACAATAACTTTTCTCCTAGGTTACAAATTGTTGAAGTTATGGCCTCCAATCTGAAACAATTAAATTGTATCGACAAACTTTATTTTCAACATCAACTTATAATCTTACAAAATAGAATAACAATTTTTTTTAAAGAAGATGCTCGAAAACACCACCTTGTTCTTCAATACATTTTTGGGCACGTTTTTCAACTGCTCGAACTGTCTTAAGTATGGTCCTACCATCTATCTGGGTTATCTTTTCCCTAACTGCAGTCTTTAACGCGTCAAGGTTATCGTACCTTCGCTTGTAAATTTGGTTCTTTAAGTAACCCCACAAGAAGTAATCAAGTGGGTTTAGATCTGGTGATCTGGGAGGCCACTGTATTGGGCCATTTGTTCGTATCCACTGATCATTAAAAGTAGTACTTAGAAAATGATAAGTACCTCTGGAGTTGTGGGCAGGTGCGCCATCTTGCTGAAAATGCAGATGATGTCTACTTATAAGATCCAATTCGTCTAAGAAATTAGTCAGAATTTCTGACATAAATTCCACATATCTTTCACCAGTTAGGGTTCCCTCATAAAAGAACGGGCCAACAATTTTTGAACCAATTATACCGCACCAAACGTTGAAACTGAAACGGACTTGTGGGCCTCTTGGATGTACTAACAAAAGATTTTCTCTTGACCAATAATGGTGGTTTTTTCTATTAAACATTCCAGAAGTTGAAAAATTTGATTCATCTGTCCATAAAAGGTAACGAAAGTTATTTACATTTTGGCGACAGAAGCTAAGATACCAATGGCAAAAAACAAGTCTTCTCTCTGGATCCCCTGCCAAAAGCGTTTGAACTGGTCGGTACTTATACGGAATAAATTTGTAAATTTTTTTAAAATCCTTTGAACAGTACCATAACTGAAATTAGAGTCCTTGAGAATATCTGCTATTGAATTCTCACGATAAGCTTCAAAATATCCAATAACTGCAATTTCCGTGGCCTCGCTTATTATGAATTCTTTTTTTGCCCTTGTTTTAGCAAAAACATTTTGTTGCCCCTAAATTTTCGATAAAGTCTCAGAAAATATCGTTCATACGGTTGAATGCGAGCGGGATATAATTCACTGTAGTATTCTCTTGCTCTCAAGGAGGATTTTCTGCACACTAAATAGCATTCTAACATCACACTTTTCTTCATGGGAGAACATTTTTCTTTAAATTAATGACACAATAAAGCTTATAAACAAGTATTTACACTAATGTTTGACATTATTTGATTTTATCATTGTTTTCCAAAGCCTTCTAGTTGCGAGTATGTCCGGTTTAACAATTTGTCGCTTATCTTAATGCTGTCAAATCGCGAACGCCATGTTGTTTTCATAGCCGTCTTAATATTATAATACTGCAAATAATTAAAAATATTTATCGTTATTTTGACTTTATTTTTGACTTTAGCGGAAAAGTCATTATGAACTTTTTTGTTTAAAATTTGATGCTTTAACAGAAAAAAATATAATATACAGGGGTTTCCATTTAAAAAAATGTTATTTTACTGAAAAAAATCAAAATAACGACTCTCAATTGTTTTTTTTTATTTCTCATTTTTACCAGCGTTAAAAATGCTACTAGTTTGCTAATTCAAACAACTTTGTATTTTCACTAATAACAAAGTTACTAATGGTGGACACTTAATTTGGATAACCCTGTATAGTGGACAGTTGCGATGCTTTCATGCATTCGTCCAGAGACAAGAGACCAATCAGTCCATGGTTGGATGTCTTTTTTTTCGGATGAACGAAATCGTGTTTCGTTTAAGACCAAGAGGGATCTTAGAGACGTAAATCCTACCTAATGCCTGCAAATGATATTCTCTTTTATTGATGTTACATGTCATAATTATTCATCGCGAAATGCAGCTTCCATCGGGGTCTGATAATCTTGATCCCTTTATAGCGCAGAAGGCCCATGCATACATTTTTATGAGACTTTGGAATAAGGACAAGGACAAGCAATCTTTGTGGATGTTGAAAGTTGATCCAAAACGTATTTTTCGTACCGGTATGTGTGGATGAAATTGAACCACATAAAAAACCGTCGTAACGAAGTAACTCCATCTTTCACTTACTTTTCTCCTGATGATCTCCCTTGAAAGAATCTACCGGAACTGAAAAACTGTTTCAACAGGTCACGACTGGCATGACGTCACGAAGGAATTCCGGAGCACAAGTCACTTCGCGTCGGTTCAAGACCGCGACCAAATAGGATCCAAGGATACGAATTTTCCATATTTAATAGCTACGTGACTGACGCTATCGATTGATGATCGTATCAATCCACTTGTTGCTTATCTTTCACCAATTTTAGATGCCTTTCTTTTTGTCAATTGTTCCCTGTAATTGTGTTGGAGCATCCGTATCCGGCGTGTGCACGGTAAACGTTACTGTTTATTGTTATTTGGATTTTTTCATTATTTTGATCAAGTGCTTCCTTCCTAAAGACCATTACAATCAGAATTAAGAATCCCAGGATATAAAAAAGTTCCGATTCTAACGATGATTTCGATATCGACTGTTCAAGTGCTTACATGGAGCCCTATTCATAAAACAAAGGGCATCCCTGTACTTGCAATTTTTGAAGGAAATCCTCCAGATGGTATTTATTATAATTTGAAGAAAATGCTTTTGCTTTTTGAGTATAAGCATATCCTTCAAAGCAGTGACATTAGTAAAAGGATATTCATAATCTTCATCTTATACTTGGCATAGGAAACATATCCTTACGAAATTCTGAGTGTGGTCAATAGCCTCAATTTCGTAACGAAAGGTGGTCAAAAGATGATGGCGGAAATTGTGGATGCTAGGGATGTTAAAACGTACAAGTCTCGTTTACCTTCACTTGGTCGTAACGTCAAACAATTATATCGGTGTTAGTCAAGCAACGGTATCTCGGACTGTGGATAGAGTTGTGAACAGCATAGTTGCACAGTCGAACGAATGGTTCAAGTTTCCAACTACCAACCATGAACTGATGGAGGCGAATCGGATATGGAAAAGCATGTATATATTTCCGACAGCAATTGGTGTAATTGATTGTACACATATAGGAATCCTGAAACCAAATCACCATGGAGATGAGTACATCAACCGAAAAGGGAAACCTAATTTAAATGTGCAAGCTACTTGTGAAGCCAGAGAGATATTCACAAGTGTTGATGTCAGTTGGCCTGGATAAGTGCATGATTCCTGAATATGGAGAAATTCACGGACTAGATCACAACTAATAAATAAAAAAATGTTGTACTACTTGGCGATGACGGTTATGGTATTGAGCCATGCCTTATGACTCCCTTCAGAAATCCTACTCCAGGTGCAGAAATAAATTATAATAAGCTTTTAGAACAAGAAAGAGTTATAATTGAACGCTGTTTCGGCCAAGTGAAACGCCTGTTGCCTATCCTACAGTATGTTTGCCGCGTAAACTTGGAAAATGTGCCGAAAATTATTGCTTGTATGTACTCCATAATGTTGCGAAGAGCTTGGGCGATCCTGACTTTGAGTTAATTGAACAAGACCCGGACGAAGATGAAGGAAATCATGAGAATGCCGAACTTCATCTCCGCCAGCTAGGTCAACAAGTAAGAAGAAACTTGAGTATTAGATATAATAGATAGTTTTACTGATTAAAGTGTATTTATAAGTTATAATAAGTTTTATTTTCGTGAACATCACAAGTTACAGGTGGCTTCTGACGCTGCATCATTTTTAATTTCGTTTTATACTCTTGTTCCAAAATACTTGTTTGGTACTGCTGTAATAGCACTATACGTTGCAGCTATTTTGTAGTTAACCCTTTGGTTTCCTCAGTTTCGTATTTCTCTGTTGCTAATTTCCTTTTTGGTGGCAATGTCTTATGAATTACTAGCGCTTTAATACTAATTGTTTCCTCACCGCGCTCGGTATATAGTTCACTTCCTTCTTCTTGAACACTACCAACCTGAATGGCACTCCTAATTTTCGCAATTGTAGGATTACAGTCACCTTCCATAGCTTTCAGCAACTTTCTTTCCCAATCTAACAATTTAACTGCTTTATTACCAGTTTGAAAAAATGTATATACAGGGTGGCCAATATATAACTGACTGATTTAAATTGCGCGCCATTTTTGATTCACGAATTTCACTAGGTGGCGCCGTAAGCACATGTGTCCAATTCATCATGGAGCGCTACACGATCCCACAACGCGTCGGTATTGTTAAAACGTTTTACTTAAATAGTTAGTCGATTGTTGCAACGATTTGGAAGCTACGATAAGATTTCGGTCGAAATAATGTGCCGAGGGTCAACACCATTCGTCAGTTGGTCCGGAAATTAGAACAAACAGGTGGAGTTAAAGACTTGTCAAGGCCGTGTTCGAACTGTTCGTACCCCGGAAATTATCGAGAAAGTTCGTGAAAGTGTAGTGGAGCGCCCTGAGACATCTACCAGACATCGTTCTTAAGAACTGGGTATTCGTCACACGTCATTATGCAATATTTCAGAAAAAGTCTTGCATTTGCGGAAGAACAAAATTCAGTTAGCCCAAGAATTACAGCCATGAAAGTCGCCAAAAATACAGTCATGCAATATTGCAGCCTAATTGCCAACCATATTTCCGTGACGTTTAATTTCTCTATTTGGTGACTCGGAAAGCTTTCTCAAGGTCTTATCCATGGAGCAGATATTACGGCAATGCTGTTCGTGCTGTAAAAACAACCCCGAAACTTGACACCACTGGTACTTTTATTTATTTATTAATCATAGCGGCCGAATCTTGTACTATAACCCCAGATACTCTGCTCTCTCAATCAGTTTGGAGGTCGCTTTTTCTCTTTTCGCTAGTTCTCCTGCTATATCTCCTCATATCGATCAGGGCCCCTTTCAAAACATTTAATACCAAATCAGGGATCGGGTGCCATCTAGGGACTAAATTGCCAACTATACACAAACTCCAGATTCCATTCTCCACTTTACTGTAGTATCCCTTTACAAGATTATTTCGCCACAAGACTGGTTCGCATGCACCGCGATAGATGCCTCTTGTAAGACAAACTCGAACAGGACCGTATTCAGCACGTATTATTAGGATAATTTCCCTAGAATTTGATAGTGCTGTCCTCACAGCAACATTGCCGGACTTGAGTGTACTATCCAAAATTCTTATTATTCGATCAAATTATTTCATATCATGGCCGCTAAGTGAAGTCATATGACATATACAAGTTATGATGCAGAAAAGGATGCACGTGGAAGAAGAAAATGCTGAGGAAAGCATCCTTACCGAGATGATAAATAGAGGTTCTTGATGCTTTCCAGACCATTCATTGATTCATTCATTCATTCATTCATTCATTCATTCAACATTACTCGTTTTGTTCGCCGTATTGTACATCTATCCATTATAAAATATATCAAGTATATTGTATTGTCTTGTAAAAGTAAAAATAAAGTTTTTTTAAAAACCCGAACGGCCATCTCGGCAACATAACTGGCGCAGTCAGCAGTAGGATAAAACGCAGTTTTCCGAAAATTCGCGGTATCGTGACCGGTTTCGTGAAAACGTGGGTATCGTCCCTTCGGCGTTCGACCTACAGAAACGAACGAGAATCCACAGCCCAAGAGCGAGAACTTGGCCCCTTGCTTCTGCCTGCCGCCTTCTAAGAAGATAGGAGTAGAAGTAGCAGTAATCTTTTGGTATATTTGGAAAAAACAAATCCAGAAGAAAAATGACCTACCGCAAGACAAGAAAGATGAAGAAAATCCCGAATCCAGTGAAGAAAGGCCCAAGAAAAATGCAACAAGAACAAAACCTACTGAAAACAGAAAACGTTCCTATTCAGTTTTCAGACTAGGTGGGGAGGAGTTATGATGCAGAAAAGGATGCACGTGGAAGAAGAAAATGCTGAGGAAAGCTTACCGAGATGATAAATAGAGGTTCTTGATGCTTTCCAGACCATTCATTGATTCATTCATTCATTCATTCAACATTACTCGTTTTGTTCGCCGTATTGTACATCTATCCATTATAAAATATATCAAGTATATTGCATTGTCTTGTAAAAGTAAAAATACAGTTTTTTTAAAAACCCGAACGGCCATCTCGGCAACATAACTTACATATACATTATCGATCAACGTGATAAGGGCTCGTTTCTTCATTTAGCTGATGCGACTACACGTCAGGTGTGTCCCAGTCTACAAAGAAGAAGAAAAAGGAATAGAAGAAGACGTATGAGGAGAAGAAGAACAAGGAAAAGAAGAACAACTATAAGAGGAAGAGACATAAGAAGAAGAAAAACAAGAATAAGGAAAAGAAAAAGAAGGGAAATAAGAAGAAGTTGGAAAAGAAGAAGTCGAATCAGTACTTCAGGCTTCGCGAACGTTTCTTGTCAGTTTAAGCGTTATATTTTATTTGTTCTTTCCCTTGCATTGTATAATGCACTTTTCATATGGTCGCGATTCAGGGCTCCATCCATGAACAACTCTCTGTACTTGATTTTCTCAAATAGAAGAATTTTAAAACTTACTACTTATTGAAGTGGCTCAGCGGCCAAGTTATCAGCCAGTCGGTAAGTGGGATATTTTTTGATTTCATATCAACGAGATTACCTGGTTAACGAAACGAAAAGACTACAGTCTATCCAAGTTTAGTGGTAATCGCAGACCACAAGGACAGAAGGAGCATCTCGAGGATAAAGTTCTCGTCAATAACTGAGGCTTACAGACGCATGGGACGGATTGGATTACCACTGTAAGTACGAATGTCTTACAGAGTTAAAAACAAACACGAGCCTTCTAGAGATGCAGGGAGCGAATCTGATCCTGATTGATTAAAAGATTTACAACTAAGACCACCAAATCAATATGAGCACTATCCAATCAAACCAGTCAAACATGACCCTGCGTCCAGAGTGTGATACCATAATTTCACAGACAATAGTTAATAATAAGTTAATAAGAATAAGCAAAAACAAGAGAAAATTGAAAATGGATATAAGCAAGAACAAATAATAGTCCATAGAGAGACGAATTTAAAAAGAGCTGAGGTAAATCCTATCTATCCTAATACTTCCAGAAATATCATTTTATTCAAAATTAAAAGGACCAGGAAGTAAACATATCAATTCAAGTTTTCTAATATTCCCGACTTTTCAGCTCTTCCCGACATGGAGCAAAAATAATAAATATAACGAATAATCCAGGAATTTTGCCAATAAATTTATGCACAGCTAGACTAGAAAAGGCAAAACACACTGTTGTGCATTAACACGATCTGTCCCTTTTATATAAGAAGAAGAAGGAGGAGAACTGGTTAATAAAATTTGAACTCATTTTCAAGAAAATCAAAATAATATTCAAAACTAGCTGAAAATGGAACATTCATTAGTTAAGAAATTTATGATGAAATTCAATGGGAGTATTCAAGATATACAGCAAAATGAGGTGGTATTAAGCCGACTCCGATATATATACAATAACAAGATTGAACTGTCGTGTCCAATTATTTTTGTATTGCCCTTTTTTATTGCCTTACTAGAAAACTCTGTTGGGTATATGATCGAGTTTACTAGAACTTTGCAGCTTGTTGTCTGCCTTCTTCTACAAACTTCACCAAATCGCTGTCAACATTATCCTCCGATGAAGACGCCACAAAGCACAGTCCTGTGATTTGGTGACTTGTTCGATATGCGAAATCTCGTCGTCACTTTTTCTAAGTTTCCCTAAGAATTCTTGCTTAGCAACCTCCAAATCAATGTCGTTCATGTCAGGTTTTTGACAGAATTCGCCATAAAACTATTATATATTTTCTTTGGAATTGCTATCCGAATTGTTAGTTATTTTTATATCATCTTTTTTTGGTATGAGTTTCTTTCCAAGATTCTTGCGTTTGAGTCTTTGTTCCATCTTAGTGATAAGCGAGGTTGGACTAAGCTTAGAACGCAAATGTATTTGGAACCACATAGACAGGCCGCTGGGTATTGTGGCTCACTACAGCTGCAGCACATCTTCCATTGTATGACCTGTTCTTGCAATAATTTATTCGCTTACCCCAATCAATGAATTTTGCGATTATAGAGTTGAACTGCTCCACACTATCGTTGTCCTCATCATGAATTAAACTCACTGAATTCGTAATTAAAATTGTCGCATATGACCTTTTATTGTCCATTATCAACCTTGATAAAAAATTCACTCAAGAACAATCACACCAACAAGAGTACAACACAACAATTCAACAACACAATATCGACGAACAGTAACAAGGGTAGAACAATACTAGATGATCGCTAGCTGAGTACCAAAATAGGAAACGAGTCATCCTTTTCTCTTTTAAAGTAGCGCCGACCACCGTCTAAGACCAGCCCACAATCGTTTCCTTTTCACCCCCCGTTACCTCAGCAGATGGTGCTCGTGATTGTAGGAGCCCCGTTAAGAAACATTATTTTACAATAAAAGCACATTTTGTTGAACCAGACTACACACCACGATATTCTTTCAGCGAAAGACGTTATCAATCAATTAATCATCCTCTACAATGCAATACTGAATATTATGCAAAATATTAGTTGATTACTTCTTGCAAATTAAAAAAAATCATCCCAGTATAACGAAGGCATCGAATTTATTTCAAAGGCTTCTTAGATATTCACATTTTATAAAAATCAATTGCCGTATGAAAATACGCCAGATTACAGATTATTTCAATTAGTTATGAAGACCGATGAAAATCAAGGTAGATGTTTACTATCCATTCCCATTGGCCGCTTTTTCGTCTACATAATCCTAGCTTTTCAACTCTTTTTTTTTCACGACAGTCCTCTCTCTCACTCTTAATGTTTTTGAGGGAAGAGTAAAAAAGCTTGGCTCTCGTAAATCTTTTTCCCTAGTTACTTAGAAAATAATGAGACAACATCGGGATCCATAAGAAACAGCCAAAATTATAAAATTTATAGTCTATTATAATATTTATTATACAGTATATCATAATATATATCGATTACATAGTTTATCACTTACATATTAAAAGTCACACACAAAATCAAGATATCACGAAGAAGATACAGAAAAATTTGAATTATTTGAATTGACTTTGTTCACATATTTATGTGTTGTTAAGTGGCACTTACAGTCACAACAAGACAAAACACTTCAGAACTTAATCTTAGGAAGAAAAATGACGATGATTAACTTAATAGCAGCACATTATATGCAGCGAGTTAGTAAAGTATCTGGCCTAGCTTTAGTTGGGTTATTCTATTTAGATAAATTCATGGACTTGTGATACTTTGTTTTCCAAATACATTTTTTCTTCAATAAGTCGAATAGTCTGAGTATTCGTCGCACAACTTTTAACAATTCTTACTAAAACTCATTGCTTAACCAGAATAATTATTCTTTTAAGAAAAACGCTTTAAGTTTATGCAAAAAACCTTATCGGAATATTTTTCACTGGACTTCCTGGACTGTCAGACTGACACAAGGAATAAATTTGCAAAGCTTATCGAGACACTTTATTCACACCCCGCATTGCTGAAGCGTTTTGACATATAAAGGGATAGTGATATAGCTATTAAGAAAATATATTGCAAATAATTCAAATTCCCTACAACATCACGGCAACATTTCAAGGTTTAGTAGGAGTGAACCATTTTTATACATTTTGATGCTATTCGATAAAATATGAAAGACGCTACGGAATGCAGAATACAGGACGTCCCATAACGAGAATTCCTGCTGGAAGTATTTCTTTCATAGTAAAATGAACCTGACCTTGGATTTGACCGTAAAATTGACCTTTGAGGCCAGTTCAAGGTCAAGTCACTTTCTAAAACCGGATCGTATTTGTAGGCAACTTGAGACTCAGAAAAAATATCTTATGCCAAAGTTATCTCAAGGTCAAGTGTTTCAGAATACATTCCAGTAAGCAATCATTATCTTAGGAGCCCTATACCATTATCGTAAATAGTAAAAACACACGATTTTCCATATCATTTGCAACCTATACAGATACATATAGATTGTCGTTTTCTAAACTCCTATATGAAAATTTGACACAGTGTATGTAATATTGTTTTATTTTGATAATTACATATATATTCATCTATATTGTATATATTTAGCCTAGATATTAATAGTAGGTACGATTTAGCATAGTACTTTGATCTTAATAGTTTATTTATTGAGGTATTTTTTACAAAAAATATTTAGTGGTAGAGCTGACAGGTAGATGTTTGGTTTTGATTTTCAGTCAAACAGGTGCAGTGAATGACTACCAGCTCTGGAATTACTAAGGATCAAAATAACAGTTAATACGATAGAAAAGTGACTCAATAAGAAATGACAAATATTGTAAACGTTTCTCTCTGTGAGACATTATTGACGCTGTGTTGGAAAAAGAAGCCTTATTTGACTACTTTTAGTCAAATATTCATCAGCTTTTCCAATTAACAACTTTGGTCTTTTTCAATGTGTTTTCAATATACAGGTAGCAAAGTTTGGGCTGATTATGAAGATGGGTTGAATTGGATATAATTTTATTTTATTGCACAAAAGAAATATTTTTTCTACTGCTGTAATGATGTTTAGCATGTAGAACACCCTGTATATTGCAATTGGTTCTCATTTGAGGTGAGTAATGAAGATGGCGGGACGTTTTCGCAAATACCAATCCAAGTCCATTTTCTTTCGACCATCTTATCAAATCATGCAATAAAAATCATATTTCTGCTTACTTTGATCACAAAATGTAGTTAAATTCTTCACTTGATGATCGTTTAAGTATAGGAAAACCCACCCTAAAAAGTCCAACTAAGGTGGATCTGAATTTGTAACACATTTTGCATTTTTTATTATCAATCATTCATTTCCAGGTTCATTATAAGCTACTACAGAATTATAATTCTATAACCAATCAGTTTCATTATATCGCATAACATACTGGAAGTTCACGTCCACTTGGACTTGGGAGTTTTATTTATCGAAAAGAAAAAACTCAACCCAAACATGTTGACGTGCTCAAACTCCAGAATCCCGAGCACATTACAGGGGCATCGAGGCTTCATGTACCGCCGTGTCGACTCCCTACTTCACCTTCCTCATTTGGCATCGGTTCTGTATATGGGCACAACGGTTACTGCTATGGCTTAGTGTCTTTCTTAGACAAATAGAGTATAAAGCTGAATGGTTACACAAATTATTATAATTGAGAACCTATCTAGAAACTACAGATTAATGGAAGAATCCGCCCGTATGCAATTGCAGTTACACGCTATGTCCTTGATGTTTTACGTTAACCTTGTATACAAAAAAAAATAAAAAGATTTTGTATGCATCCGCGATTTTCATGAGCTCTATCGGTTGCCTACTTTAGGGTTGGTAACGCATGGATGACGCCAGTGTCAATTTCTGCTTTTTTACTGTGTGTCAAGGTACATTTTAAAACGCTACTGCGAAAACCAACGTATCTCTAAACTGAGTACACTGTTAAGCGCTTGTTACCAACAACCCATGTTGTCGAAATGTGGTTGTCTATGCGACTAAGCTGAACTGATGGAGGGACAGTGACAATAAATATGTCGACGGTGAAGTGAATTGGTACGCTGCGCAGCAAGTGAATTTCAGGCGCTGCGCATGTGGCACTTTACACAGCAGCTGTCATCGTGACAACTCCAATTTTGACAATTCGGACGAGTCGCAAGCAGAAATGCTGGATAATGTAAATAAACCACGAAGTAATAAATCTACAAACCTGGCAAAACCTGAGTGAAATGCATTAAAGGTTGCGGCAACTTATGTTGTCAATGCGCAGGCGCTCTGCGCCATGTTCTATGCCCACTAGATTTTCGAGAGCCACATCATCTTTGGTGACAGGATTGGCTTCATACGAATACATGTGTAACTCTGACGTCGTTCTCCCTCCTATCTCTAGTCTTCCTGGTCGCGACGTATTGCAGGCCTATGAAGACTAGATGTGGCAAAGCTAACTCATAGAGTGTCATGTGCAGGTACTTTTGGATGAAATTTTCATACAAGATGACTACAATGCCAAGGGAAAAAAGCTTTGTAGATTTTCAAAATCGGTTCAGTGGCGGCAGAGCTAGAGGTAAAAAACCAAAAGAATAAGAAAGAAAATTTTCCGAGATTTTTTTGCAGGGTTTAAAAATTGGATGTTGGATATTTTGGAGGTATGTCAACTTCCTTGTGCTAGAAATTTTTCCAGCCCCGGTAATTCTACTAATGATATAGATATGTTTTCGATATACGCGTGATGCGTGGTTTCGTGTATGTAACCCTCTGCTGGATTGCCCCCTTGCTGGGTAGTCGGTACCACTACTATGAGCCTATTTGACTGGCATGTTCCATTTAGTTCCTTTGTTATACATGTTGGCAGTCAATGTTTTTCTAAGAAGGGCTAACTTGTGCCGAATATAATCCTTGAATTTATTGATAATAGCGTGGCAATCCCAAACGATGGCATTTGGTAATTTTGCGATACCTAGTTATAAAGTGGACTTGTTAAGCGATTTCATAAGGCAAAATAGGTAACGATTCCAACAAACAGTCTCGCTTCATTGCTAAATTGCGAGGAACATTCTCTAATATGGTGCATGTTCTCCCTTCTCTACAGGAACAAGATGCAACTGTAGTGGAATAATTTAAAAAGAACATGAGATTACTGTGAGCAACGAACTGAAGACCCCGAAGACATTTAAGATAATTGGATGACGCAAACTGCAACTGCACACGGGAAGTGGGCCAGGCTTAAATAAATAAACTTCTCATCTTTCGTTTAGCCAAGATAGAGATTCTCAACCCTCAAACACTACGTAAAGTATAAATGACACGTTACTAGTGATACGTCTCTTAAACTTACTGATCAACGCTCTATCATAAGCCATATGCTTGATAAATTTATATCGTTTCCATTATTAGGTTATGGTGCACTGAAATATCTTCAACACGCAGGACAGGTTTGAATAATACAACAATAGAAATAAATGGACAGTTTGGAGCAACATTTGTTCCTTTCAAGGTCATACATAGATTCACTCCAATGAATAGTATTTCCCGTTATTTATGTCGGTTTATAATCTCTTAAATGTAGTCAGATGCATTTTGGTTCGCATACATTTAAAAATCTAAGCGGGACAGTCGAAAACATTATACAAAGAAAGTTTTACTCTATCATAGAGGAAAATATAATGATCTGTAAGAATTTCACTGGCCCATCTTGCATTAGAACATAACCTAATTCCATCATAGACTCTTACGAAGCATCCCACTTTCTGGAAATTATTGACAAGCCAATTCAAAAACGTGATCTTATCTGATGAGGCGATTTTGAAGGAAACAGTTATCACAAGTATTGCAGAATTTTGTGTTTTAACTATTCACAAAACAGACATTCAAAAACGAAGATGTATGTAAAGTATGTATGTGGTTCCGCGTAAAAATATGCATAGGCTTGCTTATCGGATTTTTTCTTATTACACAGGAGTAGAGGTAATGTAATCGCGAAAAATTTCGAAAATGAGCTTTTTTGGATGTTACGTGAGATGTAAATTTGCTCATCATAGATTTCCCTGTATATTTATCCTCGAAACTTCGCGTGTCGATCATACGCCTCGCGGTCCTGCCGATGCATGTGCGTAGAAAACGACATCCGTTGCTTGATCGGATGTCTACCGTCAATATCGTCATCCACGTCACAGGGGAAAAGGGAGAGCTATCTATCGGTAAGTGGTAACTTTGTGTGAACGCGCATCTGCCCCAAAACATGTTTGAAGAGCGAGGGACAGCATATTTTCTCAGGGAGCCAGATCCAAAAGAACACCAGAATGTTTGACTACCTTTCTTTGTTATACATTTTCATAGCTAACTTTTTTCCAGAGGGGCCAACTTGCGTTGAACATAATTCTCAACTACTGACAGCGTTGCCTAGGAAACGCAGAGTCAACCTACTTGACGCCATTTGTTTCAGTAGTGTATGAAAAGTTAAAATAGTGAAATTCAAGCGGCTTGAAAATGGTTAAAACGAAGATACACTTACTGAAGAATAGAATCATCACTATAAAATTGTTTCAGTGGTTTTTGGAAAAAATAGCGTACTGACATACAACATCTTAAGGTTATACAATACGTCTGCAGATATGTTCCAAGATAAACAATCTCTAATAATATCTTCCGTTTCTGCCTCAAATTCGTGTATCTAATCCAGAAAATAGGACGCCGTATCAATATTGATTAGCTCTTCTGCCGCACAGTGTCCTTAAGAAATAGTACAAGAGTTTCTTTTGCCGTGCTTGTCACGAATTTGCTGGAGATGCTGCAGTTGGACGGCTGACGGTATCATGGCTGCTGATGAAGGATGATTCGGTGGATGACCTGCCTGAAAGACACAAAAAAGACGTTTCCATATTGCATGATATTTTGGGAGGTACTACGGGGTATCTAAATTAAGTGATGAGACTAACTTTTTTTTATCTTTGTACTAAACTATAATTACAATTTTACACTGACACCCTCAAAATAGGTTTCTTCTGAAGCTGGAGACGATTCTTCCACTCCTCATAGCAGTGCTGGAGCTCCGACACCGAAATCACCTTCAGCTGGTCTGTTACAGCCCTTTGAATGTTCTCGACTGTCCTTGAGGTGATTTTTCAACTTCGGGAAAAAAGTTACAAGGACTCAAGTCAGGCGAATAACAAGGCTGAGTAGCCACAGGAATTCTTTTACTGGCCGAAAACCCGTTTACTCACATTGCTGTAAGGCAAGGAGTGTGAACGGCGGTGGGATTCAAACTTAACTCTTCCCCGATCATTCTCACTGTCAACCGACAATATTTCCATCGGTCCAACCGTATGACTCTAACGAATTCAGACCTGTACTGAAGGCGGATCACATGCTCCCTGTCTTCCCTACAAACGCGGTGGCTCGAGTGTTGTCAGATCGAACGCTACATTGCCAGTCTCGTCACTTAATTTACAGACCTCGTATGTTGACTTTTATGTAAAAAACTTAACAGTATACCTGTTGATTCTTACATTTTTAAGTCACTGGTCTATGTCAAAATGAATGTATGTCTATTTCCTACTTGTAATAACGCACAATCTCGTTATGGCTTACGAGCAAACCTTAACCGTGCTCTGTCTCAATATATGGGGTCCAAAACGGACGCAGGAAAGTAAACGCATATTAAAACAAGAAAGATTGATATTCAAATCAAGTTGGGTACTTTATTTTGAAGGTTCATTTATACCATTTATGCATGAAAAATAATATCGCTCAAATGTTCACCACGACTGGATTTACAGACGTCCACGCGATGGTCGAAATTTTCAATGACATTTTGCAGCATGGTCGGTTCTATGGCATTTATCTCGGCAATGATGTTGTTTTTGAGTTCGTGGAGAGTGGCTGGTTTGTTGACGTAGACTTTGCTTTTCAAATATCCCCATAAAAAGAAGTCCAAGGGGGTCAAATCGCACGATCTTGGTGGCCTCTGCGCGAAATCACGCGATCACCGAAAAAGGACTGCAATCGATGGATATTGACGTTGGTTGTGTGGCATGTTGCACCGTATTGTTGGAAATAAACATCGACCATATCCATTCCTTCAAGTTGCGGCAAAAAATAGTCCTCTATCATCACGTGATATCGCTCAGAATTGACGGTAACGGCGTCCCCGGCCGCATTTTCGAAAAAGTAAGGTCCGATGATGCCTTTTGACCACAATGCACACCACACAGTCTCTTTTTGAGGATTCATCGGCTGCTCTTGATACTCACGGGGATTTTCGTTCGCCCAGATGCGGCAGTTTTGCTTGTTTACCGTCCCATTCAAAGTGAAATGCACTTCGTCGCTGAACATGAATTTTGATGAAAAATATGCATCAATTTGGCGGTGTTCAAGGAGCCAATCTGAGAACGTTCGGTGCGAAAAATGGTCGGCCCGACGCAGCTCTTGCGTCAATTGGATCTTGTAGGCGTGTACATTCAAATCCTTGTGGAGAATGCGGAGCAAACTGGCTCTCGAAATGCCCAATTCTTGGGATCGATGCGTTGTTGATTGTTTCGGATCGTCTCTCACACTCTCCTTCACAACAGCAATATTTTCCGGTGTGCGAACGCTCCTTGGCCGGCCAGAGCCTGGCAGATTTGCCACAGAACCTGTTGCTTCGAATTTACGCACCAGACGACCGATGGTTGTTTCGTTTGGGCGGTTGTTGCGACCGAAATGTTCACGAAGCGCGCGAAACGTGTTTTTTATTTTTGTACCATTTTTGTAGTGAGAATAACTTTAATGCGGTCTTCAATCGAATACGACACCATAGCGATTAATGGTAAACATTCAACTAACAAAATGACATGTCGGTGACAGAAAACAAAGATGGCGTCTATGTCAAATTGACGTTTACTTTCCTGCGTCCCTATTGGACAATCCATAGATTAAATTTGACATCAAAGGGTATTTCTACATGAAAAATTAATGTTAGTTTGCTTTATAAACCATGGTCCAAAAATTTTTCTTTATTAAAACTCGGGGTGTTGAAGTTTTAGGGAAAAAAAATGGGAATTAATTAATATTTTCGGAACCGCTCCAGATATTTCACTGATGTATGTAGTTAAAGTTAATAAAGTTGCATATTTTTCAATGCAAAAATAATTTTTAGTTTTAACAGTGGCGTGTGTACGGGTATTGACTTCGATGTTTTTTAAGAAAAAAATGGTACGCCAATAGTTTCTTGCCAATAAAAATTATTTTTGAATTCTCCGTTCAATTTGAAACAAATGATTTCTTGTAAAATGTCTTCCTTCGATACGCCATTTTTGAGTAAAAAAATAAAAACCGTTCTATTGTCTAACTTGAAAAATTATTGTTAATTAATTGGAAAAATTAAGCACATTAGGGGTAATGAACAACAACAACTGACAACATAAACATAACATTAAAACCAACGAAATGATTACAAAAATTGTTGAAAATGGCCCCCACCACTTAGTATGCATGCTTCCGCCCTCCTCATGGAATTGAAATATCCCTGGAGCGTGTTTTATTCTATCACAAGCTGCAACTATTCTTTCTCTTAATTCCTCTACAGTGTTAATGGGACTTGTATACAGTAGTGTCTTAAGATAGCCCCACAAAAAGAAATCTAAACTGTTGAGGTCTGGGGACCTTGGTGGCCATTCTTGGGGCCCACCGCGGCCAATCCGGGATAAGCAGTTTGTAAATAATTACGAACCGCCACATGTATGTACCACATATTGTATCTTATTACTAACGGAACATCATCAAGCAGCAAAGGCAACTATTGTTGAAGAAAATTGAGGTATGTCGATCAAATCGTCCCGGCAAGAAGAATGGGCCAATAAAGTGGTTGCCAATATTCCTTCCCATACGTTAACCGAAAATTGGTGTTGGAAATGGGTTTCGGTTACGGCATAGAGATTGTCTTCTGCCCAAAAATGATTATTGTGGAAATCTTTTATATCAAATTCGGCTCTGTCTCTACCAAATGATTAGGTGGAAAGGTACGACGTGTGCTAGTATCCAACCCAGGAACCGCCACCTATGCGGTGAACTGAACTGTATTCTTATAGGTCGGATTTGAGGATCCGAAAATAGCATGCTTCGATTTTGTTTTCCTGTATACACCGCACGGTACTATTTGTCTTGTACTTAGGCCGATTGTCGTAACGTCTAGACAGCTCCGAATGTTGCAAATTGAGGAGGAAGCCTTTTGTTGTCCAACAGAGTACCCGAGTTTCATCAAGACGCATCATGAATTTATTAAAGGTCATTCTGATGATGTTTTGTAGTGTTTGCATCAATGGACGAATTTAAGGATCTTACATCAGTGCACAGTGCCGCAAACCACAGAAAAACTTTTCTAAAAACATTGAGTTTCATATTTATGTGCTGTGGTTTTGCTTTTGAGGCGAATCTTATAAACACAAGCCATATTGTTGAATACTGTAATTCTATTATGGTTATATACATGAAGTGAAAAGTTGTTCAATATAATGGAAGAAAAACAAGGTTGGTACAATGGAATTTGTCGTCCAACTTGGCAACATTATAATATCTATACAAATTATGGTATCATAGTTAGTAAACATTATTATTCCTGTATATTCCCGGTATCTAGTTTTCTTATGAATTCTTGTTATTTATGATGGCAGCGATATCTGTGTATACTGCCTTATATTGATGAGTAAATATATTCTTCTACCGCACATTATCTGTGTTTATCACATGATATCGCGAATATCAGAGCACTCGGTATATTGCTATTATTGAGGTGAAAAGATAAAGTACGATTGCAACTCAAACTAAAAATGCTTACTTGAGTGACAGGCAGCGATTGCCTGCGCCTCCTACGCAGTGCCGGACTGAGGTTGTATTTGACCTTGGCTTGCACCAACAGTTCCTTGAACACTTGTGTGATGTTGAGATTTTCCTTCGCAGATGCTTCCACGAATCCGTTTTCCCAATCCACTGTCACCACAGATTCGGTCGTTGCTGTATCCACCTAGAAATATAATAATATAATAAACAGGGTGTCCCGAAAAAAGTGTGCAATATTCTACCAGCGGTTTCTAGAGCTTAAAATAAGAAGAAAAGTTTATATAAACATAGGTCGACAAATGTCCCCTAAGGGCGCTACGATCTTTTAAACTAACTATGTATAATCAACAATTCAGTTAAATTCGCAGTACATTTCAAAAACGGCACAATTTATCAATATTCAATAAGAGTACCTTTTTTATGTAGAAAACCCTAAATTTTCAAATTCTAAAATTGAATTTCAAAAATAGAATCACACAAAAATTTTGGGGCTAAAACAACCGTCCGTCCCTATTACATACGCTTCCAAACAAAACTGTTTAAAATTGGTAATATTTGTGAATCCAGCATAAAAAACTAGGCTACGGTACCAAGCTTTATGTCTTTATGTTAACACGTTTCGGAAATATTAAAGGAAAACCATCTTCAGGAAAGCCCATTTAAAAGACCCTTAGGGGACGCTTCTCCACCTATGTTCCTTTCTTCCTACCTTAAGCTCTAGAAACCGCTGGTAGAATATTGCACACTTTTTTCGGGACACCCTGTATAATGTGTGATGCATTGTCGACCATTCTATGTTAACTTGCGTTGAGTAACTAGCAGTCAGCTTTCGGTTGCTCATGAATTCGTATCTCAAATTCTAGTGAACTAACACGTAACTGATGATCGCTAAAACTGCTTCTACGACCTTGAGAGTCTGCAATATCGACTTTGGAGCGCCTTGTAGAACTCATCGTTTGTGTTCAGTGTCGTCTCTAACAGCTCATACTACCACCAACCAAGATATAGATGTTTTGCGATAAATATCATTCTCTAGTTGACCTTGCCATTGCAAAACACTTTTCAAAGATTTAGCTTAGACGTCTTAAGTAATTTCAAGAGTTAGAATCAAGACTTGTTAAATTTAGCATTGAAGAACATAAATGCTATTAACAAAGAAAGAAGCCTCAAAATCAGCACTTGTGGGGAACATGAAATAGGGTAAAATTAACAATTTCAAAAGGAGGGTAAACTAATTAGCCTATATAAAATTAAACAATAATTATCCTATTTCTTCGGAGGACTGCGACCCATTTTGATTGAGTATCTTTGGAGGAAAGATCTGGTTGATATCTTCCAACATAACTAATGGACGATGAGCTTTTTATCCAGGTTTTTTCTTATGGTCAATTACTGGATATTCGATGGGCAGATGTTTCATTTTGCCATCTTTAGGCCAACTGTTATATCTTAATTCCTCACGAGACCAACAACATAGTTCAGATGCCGGAATACTATTTCTCTCATCTCAAATGCATAAACAATGCACATGCAGCATTTTAGTCGAAGATTGCATAGCAATTAATCGGTCTGTCAAGGCCATAGTTCTGGGCGAATATCCTGCACTTATACTTATACAGGGTGTTTCAGTTTATTGTTGCATAACTTTAAGATTCGATAGAACCTTCAAAATGAATGCATAAAGTCTATATAAACATGGGTCGAAAAATGCGTGGCTTCCGAAATACAGGGTGTTTAAGTTTACTTTCTAAAGTAGTTTTTTTTTAATATTTCGAACAATATTTGATGTATAACAGCGAAAATTGGTATACAAGGGTTTTTTGGTACGACAAAACGAACCAAGGGCATAGTTTTACTGTAGCCGCTAGAGGGCGCTCTCTACTGTACCTGTAGTGTATTAAAATGACCGAAAATTTTTTCTTAGTGCAATTTTTTGCTTTTTGAATACAAAAACTTCTTCGCACTTTTCAACATAAAAAAGCTCTCGTGAGTTTTCGTTATAGTTAACCGTCTTTGAGATATTTCGATTTTTAAGGTTCGATGCATTTTTAATTATTTATGGGAAAATAATATTTTTTTTTACATTTTCGATTTGGCCATTACACGTAATTAAGATGATCGTTTAGATTGTGTTTTTAAACACAGCAATAATTCCTAACTCCAAATAAACACAAAAAAAACAGGATATTAATTTGTTTAATTTTCCAATATTATTTTTAGCAAATTAAATTAATTATTTACAACTAAAATGCTATTGGATAGTTAGGACAAACATACAAAACCTAAAGTAGTTGCTCGAAATGTAAACCCAATTGTTCAATACACAATTCACATCTACGAATGATCGAACGTGGTATAGCATTATTCAAATAAGGCCTTATTTCATCACATGCATTCCTGATTCTGTCTATTAGCATATCCCTTGTGGTTACGGGAGTCTGGTACACTTTTTCTTTTAGAAATCCCCACACAAAGAAATCTAATGGATTAAGGTCAGTGGATCGTGCAGGCCAGGCGACTGGTCCTGCACGGCCGATCCACCTTTCTGGATAATTTTCGTCCAGCCAGTTTCTAACTATTCTCGAATAATGAGCTGGACAACCATCAAGCTGTAACCAGGCCAATCTTCTTAAATCTAACATAACATCATCCCACATATTTGCATGTTCAGCCTTTAAAAATTCCAAGAAGGTCGCAGCATTTAACCTTGCAGGCAAAAGGTAGAGTCCAAATAGTCGATTACGGTAGATACCAATCCACACGTTCACACTAAATTCATGCTGAAAATTTCTTTCCCGAACTGCATGCGGATTTTCATGCGACCAATTATGTTGATTATGAAAATTTACCACTCCACGTCTAGTGAAGCATGACTCATCGGTCCATAAAACGTTACTTAAAAACTCCATATTATTATCAGTTCTATCAAGAATCCACTGACAAAATGTGATTCTTCGTTCTCCGTCCCCTGGTTGTAGTCCTTGCACAGGTTGCAAATGGTAAGGACGTCTATGGTCATTTCTAAGAACACGGTGAACATGGCTTGCTGAAATTCCCAAGGCACCAGAAACTCTTGTGGTCGGATCTCTATCAAACTCACGCAGAATCATACGGGTAAATCTGCACTGACGAACATTTATGTTTTGATCCCTTTGGAGATTTCCAAAACCAATTTCAATTATTTGGCGATGCACTCTTACAAATACTGAGCGAGTTGGGTGTCGTCTGTTTGGAAATCTTCGTGCGTATTCTCTGGCTGCTTCTGCTGCGTTTCCATTTACAAAGCCATACACAAAATGAATATCCGCTAACTCTTGATTGGAGAATAAAAATAGTATTTTTATAAAACAAAAAAAAAACAGGTAAAAGAAACTAAATTTCGTGCATTCACACTTGCAAAAAAACGTTTCAGGCTTCAACAGACAACAAAACTAACTGTCAACTAATTGACGTTTAACCTTATTCTGCTTTCAATTTCAAAAATATTTGCAGGCACAGTCTACTTCTGAAAATTATCGGGATACTGACTTTTTAACGTTATTTTATCATAAATAATTAAAAATGCATGGAACCTTAAAAATCGATATATCTCAAAAACGGCTAACTATAACGAAAATTCACAAGAGAGCATTTTTATGTTGAAAAGTGCGAAGAATCAGCTTGTTTATTCAAAAAGCAAAAGATTGTACCAAGAAAAATGTTTCGGTCATTTCAATACACTACAGGTACAGTAGAGATCGCCCTCTAGCGGCTACAGTAAAACTATGCGCATGGTTCGTTTTGTCGTACCAACAAACCCTTGTATATCAATTTTCACTGTTATACATCAAACATTGTTCGAAATATTTAAAAAAAACTATTTTAGAAAGTAAATTTAAACACCCTGTATTTCGGAAACCACGCATATTTCGACCCATGTTTATATAGACTTTATGCATTAATTTTAAAAGTTATGCAACAGTAAACTGAATCACCCTGTATACATCATATTTTTATACACCTACATTTTTAAGTGACTTGTAACTTATCAGATATTTTTTGTTTTTGTATTGTTTCAGATTTTTGGTTTAGTGGCAGGGTAGCGTTTCCTAAACTTCGCCCACTAATAAGGACGTTGTATTATTATTATTAATTTGACGATTTCTGGACGATGGACGAGGGTCGCATTAAAAAACAATGCTTTTCGCTTTGGAGGGACATATGTTTTTATACTACTACTACTTACTGTATAAGAATGCGAAAATGAAAGAACAGAACAACCGAAGTGTGACGTGGGAGACAGATAAATAAAACGTATTGTCAATAAAGTGTTAATTGCACTTGGAGAAAATCACCGTTGATGCCGTAGCATCGTAGAATAATTATTAGGAATTTAAAACATATGTGGTTTGATTCTGCCTGAGAAACATGGAGGATTATCATAGGTAATATCATAAAGGCATCTAATTTTTCCGAAAAAAATCGAAAAAACACGTTGCTGAGTGATATTTTAACAAGAAGCATGAGTGCTGGTGGCTAAAAAATTTTTGGAACTGCACGAATGTTTTTTGTTGTGTATTGTTTCTTCGATTCCTTTCACAGGAAAAAGTTATATGCCCGAATTTTATTTGACAAGACTATTTCATGAGTAACATATTATTCTGCATACACATAGCTTACAAACTACCTATTAAAGTATTTTTTTAAATTACATACAAATTCCGTCGTCTCGCATTACGAGCTTCCTTACCAGACGTAAAGATAATATCTTTGAATGGATCAAAAATTATTTTCCACTTCATAAAATACATCTCTTGCATGTTTTGCAACGATAGTGAACATTGTCTTCACAACTAGTTCCTTGTAATTTTCACCGTTTTCTTTCTTCACATTCCACGCACAATCTTTCAGGATTTTTGACTTAAATTCGTAGTTTCCAAAATCTCATATTTCTTCGCCTTTCAAAATTCTGTAAAATGATTCCATATTGATGTATAGGCTTTATCGGTCCCGTACGGTGCACTTTTCTCAATCACCAGATCAATATTAGTCAAAAAATCACTCTCAAAGCGACTCATTTTCACTACTTAAGCTGACTAGCACTGTTTAAAAACAATATTCCAAAATTGATTGACAATAAAATCAGCAAAAATATTTAGCGTCGTTTTCTGGTGTCGCAGTAAAGGTATTGTAATTTTTGGTGGCAACAGCTGTCAAGTTTTGAAGCGGGTAAACTCGAAAAAACTGCTGACAGGTGCTGTCAAATTTTTCCATCTAGAAACCATTTGTAATTCAAAATTGCGCGTTTGTGATTGGTGAAAATTAAGACGATGATGAGTTCCAGATGCTACATTAGAATCAAGCCTCTACAGTCTAGACTATATGGTTTGCCCAGAGGATATAGGATGACCTCGTATCACCCGCCATAAATTTCACAAAGCTGGAAAAGTCTATCTGCATCTCCTACTTTATACATATATAAGAGTCGCCACTATCCTCTCTCAGGACCCCAGGTCTCGAGGGTGTAATTCGCCAACCGAGATGTTGGTAGCGAACCTTGATGGCGGTACAGAGGAAAATGTTATTTGAGAGCATGGACAGTAAAGGGATATGTCTGGCAACTCACACTAACTTTACAGCTGAAACTCAGCTAGACGAGCCGAATACTTCGCATATGTGGGAGGCATTCTTAGACTCTATTTTTTTTCTAAAACACGTTTTTGTAACATTAACGTATACCAAAGAGGATTGTTGCTTTTTGAACAAATCAGCAAAAATAGTGTTTCTCGGTCTGAACAAGGATTTTTTACCGTTATATGTAAATCTGTAATAATCTTTACTCGTTAGATGAATGTTCTTTCTTTATGATAAAATCACTGTATGTGTATTTAAAAGCTTCTCAACCTTTTCTATTGAATGGCTTTTAGAATATTGTGTTGTATCCAATTTGACTATTCAAACTAGATGCATTTTTTGTTTTATAATATATTATTTCATATCAACTATCGACTGTATTTTATACCATATCTGCTAGCAAGCAGGCTTCGCTTTTTTTTACATGAAGACAAGTCTTTATTCTTTCAAATGATCTACAGTAAGTATCTATCTGTGCCCAAAAACTCGGTTGAAAAATATTGTTTTTGAGGTTCGAGCTTTCCTATACACGGCTCAAAAGAGTTATTTGGGCTCAGTTTATATTAAAATATTGATGTTTAATTGTTAGTTATGAATCAAGCGCGCGGTCGACGTATTCCGTTTGTTAGAAGAAAGGTTTTCACCTAACTCGAAAATTGAACTAATCGATTATAGATTATTCAAAACAGTGTTTCGATGCAAATGAGCTGCACTTGAATATAGAAAAAAACAAGACATATACATTTTTTACGAAAGGACATAGCTTGCACGGTGGTGGAGTTGTTAGGAATAAACTTGGACCCTTGTTTGTATATCTTGGATTATCTCGTTTATGATTTATTTCAAAAACTGGCGCAAACGGTATATTATGCTATTCGCAAAATTGCAAACACCGTTGACGAAGATGCTGCCATTATATCATATTATAAATGATTTCAATCAGAACTGAGTTACTCTTTAGCTGGTTGGGGATTTGCTTCGTATTCAAACTTACAAAGACCTTCTGTAATTTTATAATTCAAAAGTGCAGTGTCGAGAATTATCAAAGACAAGCACGACGTCCTACGTAGGAGCATCCTTAGGAGATTGGGTATTACGACGTTATATGCCTTAATCATTTATCATCAGTTCATTTGGATCAAAATAAATACGATCTACAATCTGATATACACAATCTTGAAACTAGAGAAGCCATAAAATATGTAATAATTCCTCTACACCGTATCGAAAAATACTAAAACAACTGGAATAAAACTTTACATCTCACTGCCTAAATATGTGACTGAACTAAAATTGAAACACCATTTAAATAAAATAGCTCCCTACAGTGTCGAAGCTTTTTTTTATTCATTAAAAAGCCAATGTGCGTTTAAGGCCAAAATTGTAATTTTTATCAATTTATTTTTATCCAATGTATTTTATACTTTCTGTTCAATATCTGTTATGTAAATTTTATGTTTTACCGTTTGTACATTGACTGGATTAAATAAATCTATCTATAAAAAAATGCGTCACTTCCTTCGGAAAAACTACGTACCTCTCTATCACCGCTGAGGTCAGCTTTGTTGCCTACAACCACAATGGGCACATTGGCGGTGCCCTTGGTCTCGTGGATCTGGTCCCTTATAGCGCGCATCTCCTCGAAGGTACTCGCATCCGTGACGTCATAGACCAGCACGAACGCGTCCGCTGATTGGATGGAAAGGGCTCGCATGGCAGGGAACTCGTACGCACCGGAAGTGTCCAGGATGTCTAGCGTCAACCGGACCTGTGAACAGATTACGCAAGGATTAAGTCACGGTGAGAAACAAAAACGGAGTCAAGTGTATCGGTTCAGTGTTCTCCACGTTATGGTATTTATTTTTTTGAAATTTTAGGTATACGGAATTTTTGATCGTCATTGACTGTAAAGAATTTTGTTATTTTAAAGTTGTTGAAAAGTTGCTTCAGCTTCGTAAGTCAAAAAGTAATGTTATATATTTTCAGTCGAAATTGTAGCTGCTTTTCTGCTTTTCTTAACAAAAATATTTAAGGTTCGTTGTACTTATTTTAATTACTTTCGTGGGAAGCTCTGATTTTGTGTCATTAAGGCCCATATCGTCAGTCGTCCCTAGAATTGTAGGGCGCGTTTATGGCCTCCTTGATTGTCATACTTCTTTCTCTCCTTCAAAAAATTCTGGATGACACTAGTACCGTGTCTGCGTCAGCGCTCTCCTATTATGAAGATATGTTTTCTTTTCAAATTTGCAAGAAACAACCTTTTCTTAACAGTCATACAATAAATTGATGTTCACACAAACTGAAAACACCCTTTATTAGCATATCGACCTAAAAGGTAGAAAATAATTTTCAAGTATAGAATTAAAAGTCCAACACTCAAGTTTGACTAGTTGATTTGGAATATCATTATAAAAATTACGATGCTAACAAGAAAATGATGCACGATATTAAACGCTAGAATTATTTTTTAGCTGCTATTTACAAAACTATATATATTTCCCTCCATCACTAGATACCTCAAACTTTTAAAATTTATACAGATTTCGGAAAGCTGAGAAGAAAATGTGGTTAGATCAATGTGATTAGTTAGCGCTTCTTGCTGTATAAATGCATTTTCAGTTAGATTAGATAATGTTAGTATTAAATCGATTTTCTCTTTTATACTCGTGAAAACCAAGACAATGAAAAAAGTGAAACCTATTTATCTTTTCATATCAAAACTTTGAATATAGGTTGTGTGATCTTATTTTAAAGCGCGAGTGGAAGAGTAACCTGTGGTGAACTCCCAATTTCTTAGGCATTCCGTTTATTCTAGCATTTATTTTGTTGTATGTATATCAGGGTGTCCGCAAAGTTGGGGTTTTCCTTTTCAGAAACAACTACCCTTGAAATAACAAAGGTAATGTGTAGTGAAACGAGGGCGACCAAGTAAAAAAAAATAAAGGAAAAAGTACTCACTCTCCAGTTGACGAGAAGGGCTAAGTACGTCTCTGCCCGAAATCATACCGCTCCAACAGAAAATGAAATCAGCTGAAGCGCTACCGAGCAGACGCAGCAACCACATTGATTGTCTTACACTTAATGGCACATCTTCTAACAAGGAAGGCAAAATGTTGCGTAAAAAGTCTAGGTATTGCATCCCGTCCAATCGATTTGGGAGAATAAATGGTCCAATGAGCATACCGTTCACCATGCCGGCCCAAACATTCACTGAAAATGTTTGTTGAAAATGACCAAACATGAGTGTTGCGAAAGTTATTCACCCCATTACGCGTGAACGTAGATTCGTCTGTCACCAATATGCACTTCAAGAAGTGCGGATTATTGTCATGTTGATGCAACAACCACTCATAAAACCGCACTCTTGCTGGAAAATCGTCAGGTTGAAGGGCTTGTACACGTGGACGTAGCGTTTGCCACACTTTAGTTTTTGATACTTGCACTTCTCTAGCTACGTCTTTAGTGCTTGTTGTTTTTTGAAACGCAATCGATTATACGAGTTCGTTGACCTCTCCATGCGTGACTGTCACCGTCGGTTGAAGGTTGCATACTGACCTGACACACTGACTCCGACCCAGTTCGGTCGTCGGGTTAAGCTAGTGTCCTAGTACCACTCGGGGATGTCGTGGCTACAGGACGGTATTCAGATATTTTTGATGTTGCAGAGCCCTTTATCTCGGTTCCCTTAAGACATTGGTGTATATGGTACTAAGAAAAATTGATTCTGTTTTCAAGATCTACACGTCGTGTAAAGGAAAACCCCAACTTTGCAGACACCCTGTATACTACAAAAATGTTAAATACCTACGTATGTTTATTAGAATTCAAGAATTTTTTACACATCGATTTATCAAGGCCATGAACAAAAAGTGATAAAATGGTAGGTTTTTCTGTTTCTGAACATATATGGCAAAAATTATTAGAATCGGATAAACATACGTAGGTGTTTACCTTTTTTTTGTCACGCAGTATAGTATTTATAACCATGAGTGCCCAAAATAAATTGCACCCCACGTTTTTATTTTCTATAATTTACTTTTTTATCAATATATTACTTTTGCATTGATCTTATTCCAAATTAATAAGTTATACTTGATTGTTGGACTTTCTATTGCAGTTAACACTAATCCTACAATACAGGGTGTCCGCAAAGTTGGGGTTGTCCTTTTCAGAAACAACTACCCTTGAAATAACAAAGGTAATGTGTAGTGAAACGAGGGCGACCAAGTAAAAAAAAATAAAGGAAAAAGTACCCACTCTCCAGTTGACGAGAAGGGCTAAGTACGTCTCTGCCCGAAATCATACCGCTCCAAAAGAAAATGAAATCAGCTGATGCGCTACCGAGCAGATGCAGGCGGTGGTGCAGACCACGAACAGAGGTAACAAATATTTTGGCGTTTGATTCAAAAACATAGGTGCGTGCAAGACGTAGCTAAGCATCGGTGCAGGCTTTGAGAATGGAGTCCCTCCCCCGAATGAAAGCACCAGCTTGTTCAATTCTGAGATGAAGTTCGGCAACCGTATGCACTTCAGTTTTGTACACTAAGCGTTTCATTTCTTCCCAAAGAAAAAAATCACATGGTGTTAAGTCTGGAGAGCGCGGAGGCCACGCTACGGGTCCATTACGTCCGATCCACCTATTCGGATATAATTCATTCAAAAACTCACGCACTTCGCGTCTAAAATGGGGCGGTGCACCATCGTGCGGAAACCACATTGATTGTCTTACACCTAATGGCACATCTTCTAACAAGGAAGGCAAAATGTTGCGTAAAAAGTCTAGGTATTGCATCCCGTCCAATCGATTTGGGAGAATAAATGGACCAATGAGCATACCGTTCACCATGCCAGCCCAAACATTCACCGAAAATGTTTGTTGAAAATGTGCTCGACGGACAGCGTGCGGATTTTCTACTGACCAAACCTGAGTGTTGCGAAAGTTATTCACCCCATTACGCGTGAACGTAGATTCGTCTGTCACCAATATGCACTTCAAAAATTCCGGATTATTGTCATGTTGATGCAAAATTCACTCACAAAACCGCACTCTTGCTGGAAAATCGTCAGGTTAAAGGGCTTGTACACGTTGGACGTGAAACGGATACAGCCCCTCTTCACGCACCGCTGGCCACACTTTAGTTTTTGATACTTGCACTTCTCTAGCCACGTCTCTAGTGCTTGTTGAGGGATTTAGTAGTTATTCCTCAACTTACACCATTCGTGGTTGTCTAGGCCTCCCACTGTGCCCACCTCGAAATTCCTCCAAATGGCCCGTATCCCTGACTCTCTGGACCAGGTACACAAATTTGCGGGGCCTTGGATGATGTCGCCTAGGGAAACGATCTGCATACACTCGCGAAGCCTCTGTAGCATTTTGAAGACATTCGCCATAAATTAACAACATATCAACGAGTTTTTTGAAACGCAATCGATTATACGGGTTGGTTTACCTCTACACGCGTGACCGCAACCGTCGGTTGACGGTTGCATACTGACCTGACACACTGACCCCGACCCAGTTCTGTCGTCGGGTTGAGCCAGTGACCTTGTACCACTCGGTGATGTCGCGGGTCGCGGCTACAGGACGGTATTCAGATATTTTTGATGTTGCAGAGCCCTTTATCTCGGTTCCCTTAAGACATTGGTGTATATGGTACTAAGAAAAATTGCTTATGTTTTCAAGAACTACACGTCGTGTAAAGGAAAACCCCAACTTTGGGGACACCCTGTATTTGAGAATTTATTTCGATCTGCTATTATATATTTGCTAACGTGTTTTTTTTACGTATTTAAGCTATAATTTGTTCTCTGGATTTTTAGTCTCAAAGCGACACCAAAAGTACTTATCATTAAGATCTTCGGCTTTTGGTCTATTTCATATTTGACGATTTACTTAAAAATTTTTTCAAATTTCTAAATTTCCATTTTCTTCTTCAAAATTTAGAAACTTCATTCCGAATGTGCAAATCTACAATGTTCCAAAATTTCTTCTGCCAATTATCTCTCAAATTTTCGAATACATTTTTTCCAAATACCAGCATTTTTTTAGAATTTAATCGGCCCTTGCAAATTTTCAAGATATTCAGATTTTTTGAAACGGGTGATTATTAGGTTGAAATATTCCGTTTAATACATGCAGGTTAAGCTATTGGAAGCGTGTTAAAGAAATTGAAAGGCGGGTCAATTTATAGCGGGACATCCTGTACATCTGTACCTACAGTACAACTAAAGAATAGCATATTTACATCTGCTTACCCTAAGCTACTAAGCTTATAACATAGGTGAACCAAGTGTCAGATACGACAACTATACAGGGTTATCCAAATTAAGTGTCCACCATTGGTAACTTTGTTATTAGTAAAAATACAAAGTTGTTTAAATTAGCAAACTAGTAGCATTTTTAACGCTGGTAAAAATGAGAAATAAAAAAAAACAATTGAGAGTCGTTATTTTGATTTTTTTCAGTAAAATAACATTTTTTTAAATGGAAACCCCTGTATATTATATTTTTTTCTGTTAAAGCATCAAATTTTAAACAAAAAAGTTCATAATGACTTTTCAAAAATAAAGTCAAAATAACGATAAATATTTTTAATTATTTGCAGTATTATAATATTAAGACGGCTATGAAAACAACATGGCGTTCGCGATTTGACAGCATTAAGATAAGCGACAAATTGTTAAACTGGACATACTCGCAACTAGAAGGCTTTGGAAAACAATGATAAAATCAAATAATGTCAAACATTAGTGTAAATACTTGTTTAT